ATATAACATCCCACCCACATAACGTTGCAACCAAATAGAGATCCAAAATATTACCCATATATAGTTTTCAAATATTGCAAACGAATATCAATTTTACAAATTGTCATATACATTCGCTATCATGTATCTTCTATTTTATCTAAAAAATAATTCTTAAGATTCTTTTTATTTGTAAATTTTAAAGACGTACTTACTAAAACCCTACCAACAAACACCAACTGAAAATATTTATAATTATAGATTGAGCAGAGCAAAAAAGATTGTTGAGAATGGATTTTGCATACTTAGTGTTTTGCGAACACCGACTCAAGTTAAAGAGCCAACAATGATAAAGATTGTCTTATGTGCATGCACTTTACACAACTGGTGACGTATCACTGCATCAGTAGCCTACACGCCACCAGGAAAATAGATTATGAAAATATCATAAACTTTCAAATCCTTTTGGGGCAGTGAAGGTCAGAAATTACTGCATTACGAAGCGTCCGTTGGTCGCGAATCAATAATAGATCAAAAGCAATAGCAGAGGAAATGCGTATTAAATATAAAAATTATTTCTATGGCGAGGGAGCAGTTTCCTGCAAGAAAATATGATAAACTAATATTAATAAAGATTTAAAAAATCTTTACTTACCAGATTATTTGTTGTTTCTTTTTCTTTTAGATTAAATTCTCATAATATAATCCATAGAATCAAACCCTTGATACACTCACCGGCACGGAAACTTGGCCACTCGTGAATTTGCTGATTATTTGCACTGAAACGTTTTTTTAACAGTAAATTAAGGGTAGATGCATTCAATAAGTGTCTCTAATGGTTTTAGAACGTAGAAATTTAATGTTTACTTCACCGAAATTTTTCTTTTCAAGATAACATGTTTTCACTAAAATTAACATCTTTCCATTGTCACTTTAAAAACACTACAAAGTTAAAAATTAAGTCTGTTTCTTTATTGTCTATCAGTTTTAATATCGGGTGTTTCCTCCCCTAGCCCTGATAACCGCTTGCATTCGATCTGGCATGCTTTGAATGATGTTTCTGACATCAACTTGCGGTATGCTGTTCCAAGCGGCCAGCGCTGCATTTCGGAGCTCATTTAGAGTTTGTGGCGGTTTGGAGCTGGACTTTATCTTTCTTTTGAACATACCCCATACATGCTCAATTGGATTTAAGTCCGGGCTACGAGCCACTGTAATTTTTGTATTCCAACCTCTTCCAGATATTCCTCTACACAATGTGCGTCGTGCGGGCGTGCATTATCGTGCATGAGGAGGAATTGGTCGTGTCCAATGAATCCCGAATAAGAAATTACGTGCTCCTGAAGAACTTCCTCGATGTATCGAGTAGCTGTAAGCCGATTATCGACGATAACCAACTCTGTACGTGCGTCGGAACTTACACCTCCCCATACCATTATTGAGCCTCCATGGAAACTCACAGTTTGGGTGGTGGTAATCGGTAGAAACCCCTCTCCTCTTTTTCTCCACACTCGTTCTCGACCGTCTGGAGCACGTAAAGCTATTCGACACTCATCTGTGAACAACACTCTAGCCCATTGCTCGTGGGTCCAATTGACATGTTCTCTTGCGAACTGAAGTCGGGCTACTCGGTGCTGTCTGAGAAGTTCTGGACCTCGTGCTGGTCTACGAGCTTTTAAATTCACTTCCTCCATTCGTCTTCTCACCGTACGCTCACTAACATTAACGCCTCTTGCGATTTGGAGCCGCTGGCGTATCTCAATAGCGGTCAGGTAGCGGTTTCTAAAAATCTCCATAACAATAAAACGATCGTCCCGGGCCGATGTGCACCTTACGCCCCCACTGCCTGGCCTGCGGGTGTAGCGTCCTGTCTCCTGGTATCGTTTCAGTGAATACTGCATTGAGGACCGTGGTACGTTAAGCACAATAGCAACTTCACGCTGTGTCAGCCCTTGGTCAATTAATGCTACTGATTGTGCAACTTGTGCTGGTGTTAATGGCATTTTTATTGGCTTTAAAGCACCTTTAGTTATTGAATTAAGACACAAGATCACAATCATTGAATAACCTTACAGTAAACTTTTCACAACACACAAATTTAAAATGTGAACTTAGTCGCTCAAATGACCCGATTCAACTAAAAATTAAAGAATTCGTCATGGTGCACTTAAACATAATGAATTACCCTCTTGAACTTGAGAGCAAACATTTTTTGACATACCTGCATAACAAACATTCATCAGAAACACTTAAAGCTTTTGCTATCGCGAGATAACCGCTTGGCCAAGATTCCGTGCCGCTGAGTGTAGATGGTTTGTATGTCTCATCAGTGCTGCACCCCCTTTTTTTTGCGTTTCTCAATTTCCAATAACTCCTGATTATACGTGGAACGTAAATTTTTGATTTTTTCTGTTACTTCACTCGTGTCTTGTAAACCCAATTCCTTTTGGATATGTTCAAACGACGCTTTACGCAAATCTCTATTCTTATAATTAGGATCCAAACTACTCCCATAAGTTGGTTTGATCATTGTATAGTTCCACAAACTTTATATTTTGTTCGGCAGTCCATCTGTCCGCCATTTTGTGAAACCAAACAAAAACAAACGGAGAATTCACCCGGCGCGAGTTTACGAGTAATTGTCTGTATGCAAAGATGTGCGAGCCGTCGTCCAACCCGCGTGCGAGTTGCTGCTTGTGCGTGGTGTGGGGGAAGGGGAGTGGCCGTGACAGCAACGTTATAACAGAATTATTTCGCCCCATCATTACGTTTGGTCTATCAGATGCAAAACCTATTAAATTATTTTTATATGGAATATTAGCCTTTGTAAAAAAGTCTACGATGTGATCAAATAAGGATACTGCATGGGCATTTTCTGGAATAAGGGCTAAATGGCTATATCTGATTCGATTCTTTTTCGAAAATCACGCGACTAGCCATAGGTGTTTGGTTGTGCTAAGGTCAGTGGACTCTTAAATAGTAAGTGAAAACTTAAATTCTTGCAGATCTCCACATAATTCTTCAAAGTATTGTTTACCTATAATACGATCAATTATAGCGTGAGCCTGCGACGTGGAAGATTTTATTTCCTTCGCAATTTTGGAATCTGGACAAACGCACTGGATTCAGTGCGTTTGTCCAGATTCCAAAATTGCGAGTAGTTTCGGTAGATGCTCCATAATAGTGAACGGTAGATTATGTTCAGCAACAAACGAGACTAATATTATTTCACCTGAAATTTAGAAAGAAACCTACATATTAGGTTTAGCTCAATCTTATTGTACTGGCAATGATAGGAAGGGATTCTGAGAACGCGATGACCGTATTCCAGAGCCAATTCATCTATTTCATAACGCACATTTACCGTCTTGTTGTCAACTAATTTGATTAGTTCTGCTTTTAGCATTCGCATATTTGCGTCAATGCCGTTTGTTTATAGCCAAGCCACCAATTCTTCTTTTCTATTGGCTTGAGTAGGTGGTTTCTGTACCTGCACCGAATGATAAGGGGCATTATCCATAAATATTACAGAAAGCTCTGGCAGGCCGGGCTCTAGGACTTTCTGGAACCACTCTTCAAATGTGGCGGCATTCATTTCTTCGTGGTTGTCAGTTGTCGTGAAGCGACAATTAAAAACAAAAGAACCTAACCTAACAACAATGAAACAACAAAAATAGAACAAAAATGAATAATTTATTTAAAATTTCTCTTCTTAACTTAATAGATACGGACAGTCTATGGTTCCGTTGATGATTTTGTGTAGCGACGTGAGATCCAGCAAAATTATCTGTTCCCACAGGCTACTTAATTTAAAATGCGTCTTCCTAAGAGGGTAGATCCTTTATTTTGTAGTTTCGAGGCTTGAGTGGACTAAAGACTTGTACAAGAAATTTTTTGTAAAGGTTCTCTTAAATTCTTTGGAATTAAGGAATACGAACCCAACCCAACATTTGAAAATCCCTTGTAACAATTCCGTCAAAGTGTTTAAGAAAACGCAACTTTTTGTCAAGAACCACACCTAGATCCCGAATAGACTCCATTTCTGCTAATGGATCACCATCAATATTTATAAATCGCTGTCGGAATATTTCTACATCTCGTGAATCTTATAAATTTACATTTATCGAGGTTCAATAATAGTCTGCTCTTAATGCACTACAAAGATATCCGCTCCTAATCCTCTTGCAATAGGAGTGAGTCACTGTGGTCTCTGCTTTGGAACGACAATTTCATGTCATCTGCATGCATAAAACAGGTTGCGAGATTAAAAACAGACGCAATGTCGTTTATGGAAATATTAAAGAGATTTGGACCAAGATGGGAACCCTGGGGAACGCCAGATGTGATGGTTTTGAAGAGTAACCATTTACCACAACTCTCGATTTTCTCTGCTCGGGATATGAAGAGAACCATTCGAGAAGATTGCCAGTGATACCCAAAGCTGAAAGTTTGTGAAGTAAAATGCTGTGATCTACAATGTCAAACGCCTTACTGAAGTTTGTGTAGATGGTGTCCACAGACAAGCACAAATCGAAAGATTCGGAGACATAGTCCACAAACGAAACAAGATTGGCAGTTGTGGAACGAGATGTCAAAAAGCCTGATTGTTGGGGAGAGATTGTTTTATGTGCCAAGCCAAAACAGGACACACCAAGGACTCAAAAACTGCCGAAGACAGACAATATGCATATTGGTCTGTAGATTCTGACCGACCTGCGTCTTCTGATTTATAATTGGGACAATGCGTACCTCTTTCCAGACCGAGGGGAAAGTACTCGTTTTTAAGGACATATTGAAAATGGTGGCTAAAGGCAAGACTGCGCTTCGCCGCAGTTGATAACGAATAAAGGGGGTATGTCGTTAGGTCTAGCTCCCTTGGTCCAGTAAGAGTTTTGAGTACTTGACCTTGTGAGAAGTGCAGATTAGCAAGATTATTTGAGGTAGAATCCAGTCAGCAGTGGACAGAGTGGAGCTAATATTATACACCGATACGAAAAATGAGGCAAAGAGGTTGCATATACCGTCACCACTATCTGCTTTGTCATCCCCGAAGGTCATGGATGAAGGGTAAGCATTGCTATTACGTGTTTTATTTTTTATGAACGTCCAGAATAACTTTGGGTTATCTGAAAGTGCTCCCTCCAGATCAGCGACATAGTTTTTATGACAGGTGTCTATTAATTCGGCGCATCTTTTATTAAGTGTTAGTAATGCAAGTTCGTCCAGAGGATTTTTGTATTTACGGTACTTCATACGAAGTTTATTTTTTTTTCTTAAGGAGATGAATGAGTTCCTTGTGTACTTAACTGGAAACTTTTTTGTGGAGGGTTTACATTTTGGATCGTACTTAGCAATCGTGTCTCTCAAAATAGCATAAAATTCTCTTATCATACATCCACCGAACATGAAGTTTGTATACGTTCCCATGGAACTGAATTTAAATATGTAATGATTTTTAATTTTATATATTTTTTGAGCGTAAGGCGATAAACTTGGCGGATTACAACATGAGAATGTTAGAACTAAGCGAGGGTAATGTGAGTTAGGATTACTCAGCAGAAAGTCACTACGCACTACACCATTGACTGTATCGTGCTGGAGAGAACGGGGTCAGGAATTCTAACTTTGTCATTTAAAATATATTTATTTATTTATTATTTAACAATTTATGTACACACAAACAACTGAAAGGACACACCATGATGAAGAGTTTGTACAACTTTTTGTTTTGCTACTTATCTCGTAATGTAATTTCTTCCGGTAGGCCAGTTACAAAGATATTATGTGATAAATAAAACATAATAAGGTGTGCACTTTATTATTATACAATACATACAAGATAAAATAAATCCATATATTATATAGTTGTAATGTTTGGACAATGCAATAAATTAAACTCACTGATGCAGTCTAATAATTCTCTTTTTATTGGTTTGGAGGAGACATATATAGTGATTGTGACGTAGGTACAAAGGTAGAGGGCAGGGTTTGTGTTACGTGGTTCTAGGTAGAGCCACATGAATGGTATCTTCTTCTATAAATATAATATGATATTACTGAACTAAATAGATGTTATTTCTACTCCTTATATGGAGTCCACGTTGAATGATGATATCATTTAATATTCCAGTTATATTGCTTTATCATAGTACCTACACCACATCTCCCTTATTTAAAAAAAATTAAAATTCTTTTAGATTTTAAAATTTTTAAACACATGACACTATGTATACCTATAATACTAAATACTTTCTTAAAACTACTCATCATTTTTATAATGTAATTATTATTACTACATGTATATGTCTTACACTTAATTTATGTAATGATAACTTTATTATAAGTTCTCTATTCTTAACTTAACTCTATATACTAATTGTATAGTCGTGGGTTATACCACACATCCCACCAACAAAACGAAATAAAAAAAAACAATTTTTTTTATACTGTAAAAAGTTATTCCTTAAAAGTTCATAAATAAAATTATTAAGTATATATAAAATTCGTCTTGGCTTGGCTAGGACGGCTGGCCAAACCTCCTATACACATAATAATTCGTCAGTCACATTAAAATTAGTATGATGTATTATGCATACATACAGCATACGTATTTGACATAATTAGGAGAACATCCGCGAAGGTATTTTATTTTGGTTTATTTCATAATTTTCATTGCATTTGATTGGTACATAATTTTTTTTTATCATACTATATCAAGGTAAAACTATACCTTGGGTTATGCGCACAACCTTGAGGTCTACGTTTAAGTCATTTTAAAAGATTCCAACAATTGTCACGGAGGAAAACTAAGTTAACACTATGATTCAATGAATGATGTGACCTTTATGTACCATTATTAAGGGTAACAAATTTAAGACTTCTCTGGTCCCCAACAGTACTAATATGAGTAAACTCGTTCACATCTCACTTGTACTGAAGGTATTGTTCCCTAGTACCCGTTACTCTTGATTTTATCACCCAATCATGGAAACATATCCTGCTCGAGGACTTTATGCTTTACCAGTGATGGACGTTCCTGTATCTCTCCATTACTTATTTATGCAGGTCAACTTTCGTTTTATTTCTATTTATTTCTTTGCATTTATAGTATTTATTAATCATTATTTAATTGTAGCATAGTTTCATGTACACGACTTGCGTACATACGAGGGCGGCACTGAAAATTTCGGGAATCAAGGAAGTGACACAACATTACTATTTAAAAATGTATTTATTGCTTTTCGAAGTATTCTCCGCGAAATTTGACGCATTTTTCCATACGATGGAACCAATCATTGAAGCAACCATTCCATTCGGAAGTTGGGGTCTCCAAAATGGCCGTTTTGTAGGCGTCCACAGCTTCTTCAGGTGATGAAAATCTCTGTCGACGCAATTTATTCTTTATTTTAGGGAAAGTATAGAAATCATTAGGGCTTAGGTCGGGGCTGTACGGCGGATGGTCTAATAATTCTGTTTTCTTGCTCTAAAAACTCTTTTGTTCTGTGTGTGGTGTGAGAACTCGCATTGTCTTGATGGAGGATGATGCGGCGGTTGCAGTTCTCTTTACGGAGTTCAGAAACGATCGATATGTCACATGTCGATCTTCCTCAATCAGCTTACGCACAGCATCAACGTTTTCTTGGGTGACTGCAGTTTTTGGACGACCTTGACGGGGATCATCACTGAGCTTGACACGTCCGCGATGAAATTCAGCAAACCAGCGATAAGTTGTGGTTTTGGATGGGGCTTCATCACCAAATGCAGAAATCATCCGGTCAACACACTGTTTTTGTGTTAAACCACTTCGAAAGTCATAATAAATCATCGCTCTTGAATTTTCTCGAGTCAATTCCATGTTCTCAACGACTAAACAAGTTTAACAAAACCTTGTGACAAGACCGAGAATCTTTTTTTAAATAAATAAATAGTATTCGATTTTTAAAACCAAGGAGTTTTCAGTTAAAAAGATTGTAATATGACAGGAACAGTGGAAATATTCCATTCCCGATACTTTTAGTGCAGCCTATGTAATAATGGGCACAACTAAGGGTTTAACCATTTTTATGAATTTTGTTTGTCCCAGCCGGGAGCACTGTCAGTTTTCAAGTTTGAGATAACGAAGTCGACCTCCACGGGGTCAGTCTCTAGAAGTACAAAAGAAGATAGTTGTGTTTTTGGGGTAGCTATTAAGTTGCCATCTGACTGTGGACACCCACTTTGGATGTCAGCAGCAAGTCGCTTACCGACATTCGCAAAGAAATCATTTGCATAGTTTACTGTCTCTATGGGAGAACCTCGAGAATTAAGTAATTCACAGTTTCTAGTTTTAGATAAGTTAAGATGCGCTATTTCTTTGATTGATTGCCATAAGGCTTTAGGGTTTTTAATATTAGCTTTTAGTTGTTCAGATTCATATTTGCGTTTTAGTTTTTTAATTAATTTATTACAGTAATTACGGTACCTACTGAATGTTATTTTGAGTATTGCATTTTACGGGTCAGACCTTATTTTAAGTTGCATTCTGTTTCTGTTCCTTATACAGCGTAGTAAACCGTTGGTGATCCAAGGTTTAATAATCCGTTGTTTACTCGAGATCCTCTTAACTCTAACACTCTTATCAAGGGATGATTTGAGTTTATTAATAAGATGTTCAATTACAAAGTTAGGGTCTTCACTAAATAACAGATTGGATAGGTTTTTGTTTATAAGTCTCTCAGCAGCTTCGTCAAAGTCAATAAAGGTCTTGATAGTTGGAGAATGGTAGCTATTTTTTACTTTAGCGATACTCATAAAGACTGAAGCATGATCAGTTGTTGAAGTGTTTAAGACTGCTATACTAGCTGACAATTTAGTTTTATCAATTTTTAAGATAAAGTGGTCAAGGCAACCCATTTCTCGTGTAGGAAGTATGTGTCCAGGTAAGAGACCATGTGATGAGAGCATGCCAAGGTAATAGGCCCGATTATTGCACTCCTAAGATGTTTCGTTATTTTCCTAATTAAGTTTATATTTATATCGCCAGAGATTATAATATTTCTATTACATTTTAACGTTTCCAGTAAATTATTCAATGAGGCAATAAAATTAGATGGGTTCTTTTGTGCCGGTGATCGGTAAATACCAAGTATAGCACACCAACAAACATTCAGCTGTATACACGAGGCATTATCAAGGTGATGTTCTTTATAAATTGAGTTTAACTTAGATTTGGCGTAGATGACCACTCCATCATTTTAGTTACAATTAAAGGTAGTAGCATAATGAGTGTAGTTACTCAAAGAGGGGACGGGTTTATTTATGTTAAGGTGACATTCCGTAAGTATTATAACGTCAGTATCCGAGCTAAGATCCGATAGTATCACCTCAAAGTTATTGAAGTTACAGTAGATGCTTCTGATATTTTGTTGAATTAGTGTAAGATCATTTTTGTTAAGGTCAATATGTTTGTTTAGATCCCCTATGTCGCATGTGACAGATTTTGCCACAGCGATATTGTCAATTTCGGTTAAGTTTCTGAGGTTATCCATCAGTAATATAAAAACATTTGGAGTGAATTTTTTTCCTAAAGGAAGTGGTCACACGCCGTAAAAATAAGAAAGACCGCTCACAACAAAGGGTACAATTTGTTTTATTTAGGCTAATTGTAGATATCTTGAGTGTCGATTTTGATGGTTGTGAGTGTAAACGGGTGGGAATATGTTATGATATATTTGTGTGATTGAATTGGAGTGTGTGCGTGTGGTTTTGAACGTATTGGAGAACGGAGTGAGTGAGTGTATTCGGGCATTGTTTACAATGTTACGTGTTATAACATGAATTAGTGTTCCCAATATTAAAATACAAATATCAGAGAATTAAAGAATAGGGGCACTAATTTTAAATGCTAAATACATATCTAGTCATGCACTGTCGAAGAGCTGTTTAATTTGACTTTCATTAGTGATTGTCACTATCAGAGAGTTCTCGTTCTTTCTAACATATACATTACCGTAGGCAGTCCAAAAGAAGGTAAAAAGATGTTGATTTAATTAAATCCCGCGCAAGAAAATACAGGCATGAAGCTCTGGGTGTCAGTTGCTCGGACACGAAAACAGGGGTTTCTTCATTCTTCACAAATCCCAGGTGTTTTGCTCGAAGTTTTGCTTTGTTACTTCTATTGAAGGCCTTACTTTAAGTAATTATGTCAGTTTTTAGCAGGGTAGAATTCATTTCTACAACAATAGTTGCATTAGCAACACTTTTTTTCCCTCGAACTCTATATATGGCCATTATGTCCGATTCTGTAATGCTAGCGTCCACAGTGGTGGATAAGCAGGTAACGTTTAGTCACAATCATCTTTTGTCTCTTTTTCTATTTTAGGAACATTTTTAATCTCGATGTTTGCTTTGCTAAACCCTTTTTGTAAGGTCTCAATTTCGTCGAAAAGTGATGTATTTGATGTCTTCTTTTTTTTTTGATGTTTCAAGTTCTCAATTTCTTTGTTTAATTCTGCGTTCTCTTTGTGCAAATGTTCTATAGATGTTTCTATTTTGATATTAGTTTCTTGAATTTGCTTCAACCTGGGATTTATTTTAATAAATTCTTGTTGCTGTGCAGCAAGCAAGGAGGCAAACATATCCCGCATTTCTTCCTTAAAAGCAAAAAATTACTCAATTTACAGCTGGGGGTAGATTAGTCCAGATCAGCAGGACTATCCTGTTCCTTCCTTTTTTTGGCACGTTCAAGGACGAAATTTGGAGGGGTAACAATAGGTTCATTAGACAAATTCGATTCGGACATAGACTTGTTCATGGTTGATTGTACCAGGAGACCACAGGAAAGTAGGAGCTTATAGCCGCTTTCGCTAACGCTTATGAGTTAGGGCAATCGACAGATTTGATTACGTACGTGGGAAGGCGGTGACGTACGCGCAGCGTACCTTGCAGTCTGTTGTTGTCTCAGTTGCGTTGTCTCGTACTTGCGTAGCACCAACTAGTACTCGAGCGTTATGGTCGCCTGGTACTTAGCGACACTTTTACAGAATTATTTTGCAAATTTAAATTAGATTTTAAAATTATTTTTGAAAAAACTTTGCACGGAAACACACGTCTAAACGCTTACGCGGTCCGGGGGGAAGAGGAGATTCTGAATAGCAATTCATGTGTCATTAATAATCACATCTGGCAGGGTGCATCTATCAATATCTGCTATTTACTATTAACACTTGAGACTTACTTGGATTTATAGTTAAACCGTGGGATTTGGACCAACGACTAATTCTACCCAAATCGTCATTCAGTGCATCTATCGCCAATTTAGCTTCAGATGCCTCAAAGTGACGGTATATAGTTATATTGACTGAGATTATTAAGAGTAATAAAATCCAGCAGAGCATTATCTAGTGAGATTTTGGTTGTAAAACTGAGTGGAGAAGACGTATTGTCTATATCCCAGATAATGTTACCCGAATTGGAGACACCCATAATTAATGTGTTGAATTTGATTTCAACACACGGTTTGTATTTTCAATGTAATAATCGAAAACGTTTTTTTTTTGTAAAGGCGAGGGAATAATCTCTTCTGCCTATCTCTAAATCCACCCATATTCTCACAGTCGCTTTCCAGATGGGGCATCCTATGAGAGCAGATATGTTTGAACACTGTAATGAGTTGCACTGCATCCTGCTACCAGGACCAGGTTTATTGCTATAGAAACCACTAGTCTCCCGCTCGCGCCTGTACGCCAGATATCGCTCACTAAAAAGTTCGCTATTATATGGTATTATTAAGCCATGTTTCGCATAAGAATATGACATCGTAATTTGAACACAATACGCTTATAAAATTCCGTGACTTTAGTACGGAGGCCAGGTACGTTTTGATAGGAAATGTTTGGCGTATTGAATTTTAAACCTTATTAATTGTACGCTTAAATTAAAACAATCTAGATTAGCTTATGATAATCGCTCCAATGTTGTTGAGTTTCGCACAAAAATCTATTCCGATGTATCTGTCTTACGCATATAAATGCGGCCCCACATATGCTTATACTTCAGCTTTTTAGCTCGAGTGCTTATTTATTTTGAAAATCTGTTGCCTGAAGATGCTTATTTTCAGGCGACAGATTTTCAGTTACGTATATGACAGTCTTTTTTCTGTTCCAAAGCCAAGATGCCCAGTGTTCAGTCTATCTTGCGGATGATATTTATTGTATTTTATAGTTGCAGCCAAAAGCGTATCTCGCAAGCGAGGGCTGTTTAACTTAATTAAAATTGAGCAGGGACGTGGACTCTCAGGGTTCTTTTTCGTAATACGAGAACAGTAAAAAATATAAGCTTCATTTACAGGACAAGATACGGTTTTACTAAGTTGCTTAACAATGAATAATAGGTTTTCAGACTTCCTTTCTTGAACGTGATTAAAAATACCCGCACACACACATTCTTCCATATGCGTACGCATACACTTACGCACACATTCTTTACTTTTACTTTATTTTCTAGAAGCTGCGTTTTGTTTAAGTTACTGTGTTACGGCAGACTAATTTCGGTCATTTATTCGGAAGTTCGAAGAACCAACAACCGATAGGAAAGTAAAGTTTTCGAGTGGCAGCCTTGTAACGGTAGGCGAAGTGTAGGGCGGTCCCCCACTAAATCTAGCGACAACTTGGTAAGAGTTGCAGGAGTCGATGAATGCAGGTGGCTCAGGACCGTGCTTTGTGGCATTCCTTGGGGGAGGCCTATGTTCAGCAGTGGGTTCGTGAAAGACTATAATGATGATATCGAAGTTGTCGCTATAATTGAAGTCGGTCAGTAAGATATCATCATCAGCATCATCATCATTATCATCATCGTAATATTAGAAGTTACGTTATACTTTACTTTTTGCAGAAGAGTGGTGAACACGAGTGCGGGTTGTGCCAGATGCGGTACAGCTGTGTACGCTTACTGCGTGCGCATATCAATTCGGCGCACGCGCGTCGGTACGCATGCAAGCGTTGCCCGCACATATCGCAAACCAGGTGATGTTGTTTTTTGTATAATAAGGATGACAGACGAGCACACAGTCAATCTTTTTTATAGAATAAGAGGAACAAATGAGCACACAGTCCATCTGTTAGCAAGTGGGTAGCATATAGACGTCTTCCATTACAATTCAAAATGCAGATGTATTGTCACCACTGAGGAATAAGATGGAATGCCACGTTTCCAGTAAAAAGGGTCGCCGGTTCTCTACACTCATAATACGAAACAGCAGCATTAAGCTATTATTTTACGCTGGCATTCTGTAAGAGCGTAGTTCTGATCCTACCCCGGTCGAGCCGATCCATTCGTGCTACAGTCATAACATAGCTTCATAGTCCTTCCACATACAGTACATTGCTAGGTAACCTCCTTTATAGAAGATTTTATACGTGGTAGAGCCATGCTGCAGCTATATTTCTGGTATAGTTGTAACACGAATGGATCGGCTTGACCGGGGAAGGACTACGCTCTCTCAGAATACCAGCGTAAAATAGCAGCTTAATGCTGCTGTGTTTCGTATGGTGAGTGTAGAGAACCGGATACCCTTTTTACTGGAAATGAGGCATTCCATCTTAGTCCTCACGGGTGACAACGCTTCTGTATTTTGATTCGTAATCGAGGATAAATGTAGATGTCTGGGCCACGGCAACCACTTACCATCAGGTGGACTGTGTGTTCGTTTGTCACCCTTATTCTATAAAAGAAAGAAAAAAAAGGTATATCGACGTGTAGTGGTGGCGTAAGAGAATCCACTATCCCATATCCCGTGGGTATCGTAAGAGGCGACAGAAGAGTATAAAGCAGAAGATGAGCATCAACATCTTCCTGATAACAACTCCGGTTGCCCACCCGCCTGCCAAGCGTAGCATTTATGACAAATATGCCCCTTTTAGGCAGTCTATAGGAGAGACCTATTATCAGCAGTGGAAATTTGATAGGATGTAATGATGATAACTGATATTCAAAGAACTGCAGCTCGTATCATTGAATTGTTAATTAAAATTTTTAAGTGTTGATTTACTTAAGCGTTTTGATCTAAAGAACATATTAACTTTCAGATGCAAGGCGAGAGAGCACGAGATGTGGCACAATGGTCACACATACCCTTGTCAAATTTGTGGAGTGATTTTTGAGTAAGTTATTTAACTTTTATATTACTCGATAATTTTGACCCGAATGCCTCTTTGATCTAGTGGTCGTAAACGCGACTGATGATCTTAAGGTCCCGAGGGGTTTTTTGACAAGAAATTCTCAGTAGCAGCACGGACTCAGGAAGTTGGCGGTTACACACCTGTGCCTCGAAAAGCACGTGAAGCCCTTGGTCCTGCGCCTGATCCCTCTCCGTTCGTTCGTCTTGCTGTCCCATTGAACTATGAGAGTGAGGGAATAGTGCTTTATAAAAAAAAAAAACTAAATAAAATAGTGAACCTGCGCTTGCGCATGCACTCGCGCACTATAATCCCAACCTGCCCCGGCAAGACTCCGTTCAGACTGGTCGTTGTGACCGAAAAAAACGGTCTGGAGGACATTATTATGTTCAGCTGTGAGCTTCTAACTGTGTAAAATGATGGTAATGAAGATAGATCTATACATACGTTTGTCGAAATTTATTAATATTACTTTTAGACATGTGTCATTCATTCCTTTCTAGTAACCCGATTATTCAAGTGTTGATTCGTCTTACGTACCAGGTCATTCGGGTCGATCATTCTAATGGATCATTTCAAGTGTCAGTACTCTGTGATCTGTGAGACCCGCTAGAAAATGTTCTTCATCGGACAATGCTATACTTTTTGATAGTAGGTGCTATCAATCGTTAGATCCAGAACTTTCAAGAAATGTAATTGCAATCATTAATACTTTGATGCTATCCGGTTCATATGAAAGTATCATTAACGATTGACACATGTCTTGTTACTTTAAGTGACGGAATTATAGTCTATTCTCAATTGTTTCAGAAAGCCTTCGACCTACCACACACACACTCGCAAACATCATTCGGAGAAAGTATGCGTACGTTGCGGCGGCAGTTTTATTGGCGAGTATGGCCTGTTCATGCATTTGAAAAAAGCCCACAAAATGGATGAACCGGTAAATATATTATGTCATCATCATCAATACTACAAAACATGGTCTTGAACCACTTGCAACTTTTTTTTATACATTAAGGGTGAAAAACGAACACATAGTCCACCTGATGGTATGTTGATACTGTGGCCCATATAAGCATAGATATCTAAACAAGTGTGAAGAATCAAAATACATATGTTTTCATTAAAAGGGTTTCTGGTTCTCTACATTCACCATACATACTCATCTCTTCCATTTCTTATAAGGTCATCATTCATTCTAGTGAGGCTGTCATATACTTGCCTTAATGATTCCACTAAAAATCCCTTCCGTTACCGTTACGGCCTATTAAAAGCTAAAGGTCTCACCATAGATTGTCTCACAGGCGGGATATTTGCCATAGTGCCACGTTTGGTAGGCGGGTTGTCAAACACAGTTTATTAATTCCTAGTTGTTATTAGAAAGACGGTGTTACCCATCTCCTTCTTTGTTACCTTCTGTCGTTTTTTACTATACCCTCTGGACCGTATTCTTACATGGTCAACATCTTCCCCACGGACAACTTCTTCCCCATCAGTTGTCAAAATATGTAATGGTTCAGAATAAATACATTACACATAGTTTTGCTCTATTAGTATCTAGTTCAGGAATAGAGAGCTCTTATTCCACCTGATGGTAAGTGCACTAGTAGGGCAAATGCCATCTACAAGTACAATGCTTTTTGATTGATGTCACTCCTGAGTGCAAAGATGGAATGTCTCGATAACATTCAAATCAAGAGCATTTTGTTGTTTCTTTATGCTGGTAAACTGTGAGTTCGTGAGCCTTCCAGTGGAGGCCTTAGTCCCTCTTTAGGAGCCCTCTCGTAACTCAACCATGTAATGTCTTTATTCCTTAAAAAATTTAGTATTACTTAGTTTTTTTTTACATTCAAATTTATGTTGATTGTATTATTTATAATATATATAACACGAAACGAGGCAGAATAGATTCGCTGCGATCAACTTTTTATGTATACAAATCATATATGTACAATTAAATGAAATAATTTAATTTTACTACACTACATACTACAATTAAATTATTTCATTATATTATTTATTTGGGGTATCTATAAAGTTTTCTCATCTGGTTGGGCAGTATAAATATATAATTGTAAATGAAAATGGTAAACATACATAAATATGAATAAAATAAAATAAATACATAAAAAATACATAAATATATAAAAACCCAACCAGATGGAAGCCCTCGGCAGGGGAGACCAGACGGCCGAGGGTTAGGGGGAAAGGGAAAGAAACCGGCGGACGATGCGGGCGGTATCGAGGAGCACCGCCTTCTGCATTTGAGCCTGGAGCGGTCCGTCACGGAGTCCCAGTCGCCTCAGATGACCCGGGAGGCTGACTGGGATTAACCCGTTCGCAGAAACGACCACAGGAATAATTTCGGTCGGCAGACCACCCCACATGCCGGTAACCTCGTGAGCCAGGTCCAGATATTTTGTCACCTTATCTGTTTCAGCTTTCACGAGGTTCTCGTCATAGGGAATGGTAATGTCGACCAAAAATATCCTTGACTGTGCCCGGTCCATCAGCACAATATCAGGCTTATTCGCAAGAATAGTCCTATCTGTGATGATGGCCCGGTCCCAGTAGAGCCTGGCGCGGTCATTTTCGAGCACGGCTTCCGGCAAGTACTTATAATACGGCAGTTTCCGATCCACGAGGCCGTATTTCAGAGCGAGCTCCTGGTGTAGAATCCTGGCTACTAGATTGTGTCTGTGCAAATACTCAGAGTTAGAAAGCGCCGAACAACCGGAGATGACATGCCTAAGTGACTCACCGGGATGGCGACAAGCTCGACATATGTCGACGGCGCCATCCTTTAGGATGTATCTCCGATAATTGTTGGTCTTAATAACCTGATCCTGTATCGCACAGACAAAACCCTCGGTTTCCCCAAAGAGGTCACCAAAACGTAGCCAGTGAAGGGAGGCGACTGTGTCTACGAAAGGCTCATGTAGAGCCTTGTAGAACCTCCCGTGGAGCTCCTTCTCCTTCCATACGGCCTCCCGGTCGGAAATGCACTGTACTGCTAGGTCTTGCCATTGCTCGTTGGCTAAGGATAGAGGGGTCAGTCCTTTATCACAAGAAATAACGTCCCTATAGTATGGATCATCCGCTCTAGTCAGAAAGTAATTACGGAGGCTGCACACTTCGCGATTATGCATGGTAAGCGCGCTTAAAAAGCCGCGCCCACCATGCTTCCGCGGCAAGTACAGCCTCATTACTGACGATCTCGGATGATGCATCCTGTGGGACGTCATTATAGTGCGGACTTTTCTGTCCAGAGCGTTTAGTTCGGTCTGAGTCCACCTAAGTATGCCATAGGTATACATGAGAACAGGCATGACCCAACCGTTATATGCGTGCGTCTTATTCACACCGGACAAAAGGCTGTTAAGCACTTTGGTCAAGCGTGCATAAAACACATCGCAAACTGACTGTTTCATACCCGCCTCATCAACACCGATGTTCTGTGACATACCCAGGTATCGGTATGTTTCAGCCTCGGAAAGGGTCCTTATGTTGATGGGCATAGATAAATCTATGCCCTCAGAGTTAGCAACCCTTCCCCTTTCAACATGGAGGACCGCACACTTATCCGTCCCCAGCTCCATTCTAATAGAATTGCTAAAATCACAAGTGATGTTTAGCAATTCCACAAGATGAGAGCGATTGGAGGCGAATAACTTGAGATCATCCACATAGAAAAGGTGGGTCACTTTTGTACCTCCCCTCCGAAGCTGAAATCCCCTCCCGGAGCCCTCCAGTAAGGTACTGAGAGGATTCAGAGAGAGGCAGAACCAGATTGGACTCAGACAATCGCCCTGGAAGATACCCCTTCTTATCCTTATGTGGTTCTCCGCAGCCGTCATCCGCTCGCCTAGATGACAAAGGATCGTACTCCACTGCCCCACACACTGCCCGAGGAAGTCTCTAACTGTACAGTCAACCTTGTACAGCTCGAGGACCCTCTTCAGCCATGTATGAGGCACCGAGTCGAATGCCTTTTTGTAGTCTATCCAGGCGGCGGATAGGTTCCGACGGTTGCGTTTAACCACTTTGCCAATGACCGCGTCAATGAGGAGTGGTTCCTTGGTTCCACGACCACCGCCCCGACATCCATTTTGAGCGCGCGACATCACCTGATTTGAGTTCAGGTGACGAGTGATTCTCGCGCTCAAAATGGATGTTAGTGTCTTATATATCGTGGGTAGACACGTGATGGGGCGGTATTTGCTCGGGTCTATGGTATCCCGGTCTTTAGGAACCAAATGAGTGATCCCAGTAGTGAAGAGGCTCGGGAGCGACTTTTGGTCGAGAGCCTCTTGAAATTGTCGGGCGAGCACAGCGTGACACACCACGAACCCCTTCAGCCAGTAGTGATGCAGCCCGTCGAGCCCCGGACTTTTCCAGTTCGGGGCCCTTCGGACCGCCTCAGCTACATCGTCCGGCGTTATAATGACGGGGTCCATGGGCGTAAGATTCGCACACTGACTCACCACAACTTCCGTCCAAGGGCCCTCGCTGTGGTTTTAGGGGCTCTGACCACAGGCCGCGCCAGAATGCGACAGTGTCGGCCTGATTCGGTGCTTGGCCCGTTCCACGTACCATTGGTCGCTCCAAAGATTTATATAGCCTCTTCTGATCACTCTGGAAGAGACGATTCTGGTTGAACCGTGTCGACCTCTCGGTATATCGCCGAATCCGCTTCCCCCAAGCAGCGATTCTCTGCTTCAGGTCGTCTACGCGCTCCGTCAGTTTTTGCGTTATATCCGGCTGGGACAAACTGATATTTGTCCCAGCAAACGCTATTCTGACGGTGCGCACAATTCGCGGCCTATTATTGCCCGACCTGAAGCTTATCAGCCTGCCGATGAGGGCCCTTGCCTTTACGATACGGTCCTCAATCCTTATTCTCCAGGCTGGGATGGCGCTACTTTGTCTAGTAGCGCGTCCAGCCGTGGGAAGTTTGGTGCCAACAATACGGCAAACTGCCAGTGCGGCGCCAAAAAGAATTGAGTCCGTCTCGCAAAGGTCCCGGCTGGCTTCCAAATAGGTCACCAGCATTGGGTTGAGAGCCCTCACGACAGCCCGATTCCGCTTGCTTAGGGGTATGCGCGGGAGTCGCGGACGATTTTCGAGAGGCGTACTGCGCGTTTCCACAATCGCCTCCTCCAATTTACTCCTCATCTGCTCTAGTTCTTGGGTGACCATTCCATCATCGCCTGAATCAACCAGAGCAGGGAGATCCATGGCGCCCTCTATATGAGGCTGCTGGTCTGTGGCCTGAAGAGCCGCATCCCTAGCTATAGCCGGTTCATTCGATGACGGAATAGCCTCACGTCGTATACGTTATTTATATTATTATTATATTAGAATGCTTCACATAAATTGTTTTGTAATTTAATATACTATGCGATTCAAATAAGAATATGACTGATCTGGCGCCATATTGTGACGTCAAAGCTGTCACTTCAAACCAGTTAGTCAGGGTGCAGGGTGAGCAAAATAGATATTTTTGAAATAATATTATTTTATACAAACAAATACAAAAGAACCATGAAATAAAAATGTTTTATTCGGAATCCAGCACTTCAATTCCGCTCATACTTGTATCACTGTCTGAGTAGGTATCATTGTTATGGTTATCATCACTGCTGCTTTTCCCTATAAAAATAGAAAATGTGTTTATGTAGGTATTTAAAATATTTCACCGAATGTTATTTAAAAGAAAAATAGGAATGTTATTATAATTGTGTTATTTATTATACCTGTGATCATAATAAAACTAAAGTTATCATCGTCTTGAAATGTCCTCCCTTTGCTGGTATTCATTTCTTTCTTCTAATCGTCACTGGTGAACTGCTTCTAGTGTTAGGCTCTCAATTTGCCTTTATAACTTTAAACATTATTGTCTGCCACCCTACGCTTAATCAAGTGGCCGATATATTAAATTGTATTTAAATTGCAATTTTAGGTTAGTAGCCTGAAATCATCAAAACCATGGAAGTTTAAAATACTGTCTATGATATATTTTTTTTTGTTTGTGGTTTGTGCCTTTTTATTAACTCGTTGAGTTCTGTTTTGTATAAGAGGTAACTTATTGCTCCGGCAATTTTGAATTTATATCCTTGTGACCACCATTATCCTTCGAGTTTCTTTACTCTGTGGAAACTCTAGGTCCTCCTTTGCGACAGCAAATATTTTATTGAAATTAGCTACATATGTCTTTTCTCACCATGTATCGAATTTATTATATTATGCAGAACAGCAATTTCAAAACTGTCGCATACTACAGATTTACCTCCTTGTTTTGGTGTAGTTGTTTTGCTGCTGCTAGCTTCCGCATCTTTTTACTCGCATCGAATACGAGTCAAAATATTTTTATTTATACCAGTGGCTAAATCAACTTATTTGCATTTTGCAGGGGTTGAAAAATGCTTTTCACAATGTCACACTTGTCAAAATGCACGAGTCAAATTATATTTTCATCTGGTCCTGAGGAGATATTTGCTATCTTTAATTTGTGTATCATTGTAACACTGCAGTTTCTCGCTCTCAAAGTATTTGCCTACATTGCAGACAATCTTCCGAGCTCTCCCATGAAAACAGCGCCTCGTATACTCATTTTGAAATAGTCAGTGAGATAAAAACAAATAACAAGAATAGATATCAACAAATTTAATAAAAACGAATAACAAATTTAACAAAGACAGATAACAACAAAACAGGAAACAACCGCGTCACAATAAGAATTATGAAAATAAAGAAACTTAAAAAAAAAGCAGCACTCTACCAGCTCATGCACCCAATCGCACGACGAAGCACACTGAAATAGATAAGATGGCGTCCTGTTTGATTTTAGGCGAAATGTTGCCAACAATGAAAATAGAGAAAAAAAAAAAGACTTCAAAATTATTTTCAAAACTAATTATGACTTCCATATATTTGGTAATAACAAAGACTCAGTTACATAAATCATCATCATCATTACATCCCTTCACAAGTCCACTGCTGAACATAGGCCTCCCCCAAAGAATGCCACAAAACACGGTCCTGAGCCACCTGCATCCATCGACTTCCTGCATGTCTTACCAGGTCGTCACTCCATCTCGTGGGGGGACGCCCTACACTTCGCCTACCGGTACGAGGCTGCCACTCGAGAACCTTTCTTCCCCATCGGTTGTCGGTTCTTCGAGCTATATGGCCGGCCCACTGCCACTTCAGCTTACTAATCCGTTGGGCTATGTCGGTCACTCTGGTTCTACTGCGGATATCCTCATTCCTAAGTTTATCACGCAGAGAAACTCCGAGCATAGCCCTCTCCATAGCTCGCTGAGCGACCTTGAGCTTCCTCATACGGCCAGCAGTGAAGGACCACGTCTCAGTTCCGTAAGTCATCACTGGCAACACGCACTGGTTGTACAATTTCGTTTTAAGGTTTTGAGGTATGTCTGACGAGAAGATGTGTCGTAGCTTCCCGAACGCTGCCCAGCCGAGTTGAATCCGTCGATTGACCTCTCGGTCGAAGTTGGACTTACCCAGTCGGACTATTTGTCCCAGGTAAACATACTCGTCAACAACTTCGAGCTTAGTGTTCCCAACAACTATCGGCATAGGTGTGACATGGACATTAAACATGATCTTAGTTTTGTCCATGTTCATCTTAAGACCTATCCGTTGGGAAACACTATTGAGGTCATTGAGCATAGTGCTTAGGTCCTCCAGCGATTCTGCCATAAGGACTATATCGTCGGCAAATCGAAGGTGAGTGATGTACTCGCCATTGATGTTGATACCGTATCCTTTCCAGTCCAGAAGCTTGAAAACGTCTTCCAATGCAGCGGTGAAGAGTTTCGGGGATATGACGTCACCCTGTCTTACACCTCTCTGCAATTGGATAGGTTTCGTACTCTGGTTCTGTACTCGGATAGCCATCGTAGCCCTACTGTACAAGCACTTCAACACTTCGATATACCGACAGTCAACTTGGCACCGCTGAAGGGACTGCAGCAACGCCCAAATTTCGACGGAATCAAAGGCTTTCTCATAGTCCACATACGCCAGACATAGTGGCAAATTGTACTCTTCGGACTTCTGTACAACTTGCCGAAGGGTATGTATGTGGTCTATGGTGCTAAAGCCCTTTCGGAAACCGGCTTGTTCGGGAGGCACATAAATACAGAAGTGAAAAAAATTTTTTTTGCAAGCCGTACTTTTCAAGAGATATTCAAAGTCATTGACGTATTGCCTATTTAAACCGTATTGTACAATGATGTAGGTAAATTATATATTAATTAGTTATGACATTTACTATGATATTTAGTCAAATCGATTGTCAAAAAAAATCATATATAATTTTTTAATGTCAAATACTATGAAAAAATTTTGCTCGAAATCTAGAAGTGAATTTCTAGATTTTGAGCAAAATTTGAGCTTAGTAGCGTTTGCCGTAAATTAATCTGAACGCTCGTTGGCACAAGTGATTGATAATAATAAATTTAAGTGTTAATGGATTATATGATCATTTAATGGCGGTGTAAGAATATCCACTACCCCATATTATTCCGTGGGTCTCGTAAGAGGCGACAGAGGGAAACAAATCAGGAGATGGGCAGCAGCGTCTTTCTAATAACGATTAAAAAATACGGTTGCCAACCCGCTTGCCAAACGTGGCAACTATGGCAAATATCCCTCCATGAGGCGATCTATGGGGGAGGCCTAAGTTCAGCAGTGAACTTTAACAGGCTGTAACGGTAAAGGTATTGATTTTAAGTTAGTTATAATGGGATTGACACGTTCACAAACAAAAATCCCTAAATAAATATATTTTTTCCACAGGATCTGGAAAACCCTGACGAGGCGGCTTCGGAGCGTTTCTGCAGCAAATGTAATATCCAATTCCTCACTTTGAACGCGTGGAAGAGACACGTCCTAACATCCTTCCAACACATTGCTTCGAAAGAAAGCAGGTATAATGCTTTACTATGTTTCCCGTACATATCATCATCATCATCACAATCATCAGAGGCCTTCACAAGTCCGCTGCTGGACATAGGCCTTCTCAAATAATGCCACAAAGCACGGTTCCATCCGCATCAATCGACTTGCTGCATCCCTTACAGCTAAAACGTGGTAGATCCTTGCTGCAGTTATATTCTGGTTGTAGCCCAAATGGGTCGACACTGAACGAATGGAATAATGGTGGCAAACGAGCACAATCTACCTGATGGTAAGTGGATACTGTAATCCACAGACAGATATATCTTTCATTACAATTCAAAATGCTGATGCCTTGTCATCCACGAGGACTAAGATGGAATGCTTCGTTTCCATTAAAAAGGGTCTCCGGTTCTACACTCACCATACGAAACACAGCAGCATTAAGCTGCTATTTTACAATTTGTTTTCCTTACATAAAGGACAAAATATTGTATTTTGAGTTCCACGCACAGAAAGCTTTGAATCTTACCTTATAGGCAGATTTTTGTGGCACTTTTTGTAACACTTGATTACTTTTGAAATGTGGAGGGTGTTATAAAAATGTTTTGATGCTACTGTCTTTAATTTAGACTTCTTTCTTATTCTATACTCAGCACTAATATACAGGGTTATTTTTCAGGGCTTCCAAATTTTATACTTAAGTTCAAATATATAAACAATGATATACCATTATAGCAGTTTATGAAAATACGAGCGCACGTGCGCTCCTCTGCGCGCGATTCAATTTACCCTTACGAATACGAGCGACCCTTACGAATGTGTGTGTGTGTGTGTGTGTGTGTGTGTGTGTGTGTGTGTGTGTGTGTGTGTGTGTGTGCGCGCGTGCGTGCGTGCGTGCGCGTGTGCGTGTGTGCGTGCGTGCGCGCGCGCGCGCGCGCGCGTGTGTGTGTGTGTGTGTGTGTGTGTGTGTGTGTGTGTGTGTGTGTGTGTGTGTGTGTGTGTGTGTAGTAAAATAGTAGGCATTAGATATTTATGAATGACATTTAGTTAAAAATTGCGTGTTTAACGTATCCTGAATTTAAAAGATAAAAATGATAGAATGCTTGAGATTTTTTTTTTATGATAATTTACAACCAAGAGTGCGGCATAAAATATAACATAATAGTTTAATTTTATAGCAAATAAATGACAGCAATAAACAATAACGATCCTTATTTCTAGGCTACATTCCTAGCCTAAATTTTAGTGTTATATATTAAAAGAATATTTTCTTTCGAGTAAAATTGTTTTGTAATAGCACCATCTATTTCATTCTATAGGTAAAGTCATTTTATCGAATAAAATTGATTGACTCTCCAAATAGTACAAAAAAAAAGACGCTAGATGAGCTAAACACGACAAATTTTGTATAATATTATATCCCATTCTCTCGCAGTCTAAATCCTATATAGATATATATGTTCCTCTCTTTATAGTGTCACTTTTTCGTTACATCGAGTTTCAAACTGCAATGATTTTAAAGAAGTTTTCACTTCAAAAATACTAACAGTATTTTTCTAGGGTTTTATTTCGTTGCATGTTCTGTGTAGTTACCAGTGCGACCTCTGTGGTGAACAAGTGACCCCGCTGAGTCGATCCTCGCACTTGCGCTATCATATTCGTGAGTTGAATCTACAGTACAAGCCAGCGTATTCCAACGTTCCTTCGGTCACGCTGCAATGCGAACAGGTGCGTTATTAATTTTATATCCTTTTTCATCTGCGACACACATATGAGCCTTTCCTTTTTTAAATATTTCTTATTATTGTTTTTTTTTTCAGTATATTTGGGAATAAAACATGTGTAATCTGTCAGAGTGAGATCCTAGTAATCTACAACACAGGGATTACCCTGGCGTATTATTTAAGTTTTATTTCCCCTTGTAGATTGATTGACGATGTCAGTGACAGACATGAGCACTCAGTCGCAATTTTACTACCGGTTAGTGCAGTCGCTTCATAATGACGTGACGGCTCTAATGCCGAACTTACAGTATTTTTGTAGCGTAAGCATACCTACTGCGCAAAAATAATTTGAAATGGCGTGTCAACCTAAACGTTCCGAAACCGTCGTAATCCACGAGTTGCTGGCCTTTGTTCAACAAAAATTGGACGTCATGGACCAGGTGTCTCTGGAGCAGATACTGATGACAAGCTTCACCGAGGACGATATCATCCAAGCGAAGAAGGTGTTAGCAGATTCAGCCGTGACCCAAATCCGTCTTATCACACGTCACAGGGATGGACGCGGTAAGAAAGACCTGCAAGACATCTTCAGGCTGTTCAATGAGACCGACCCTGATGACATCCCAACTTTCGTCGCGCGTGATCTCAACAAGCTGCCTCCCGTGACGTTCGATCACGTAGACGTCACCAGATTGTTGAAAGACATCACCACGTTGAGAGCCGATATTACCGACATCCGTTCCAAATTTGAGGAATCAGAACGAGCCGCAACAGAGCTGAGGAACGAAGTCAATATGTTGCGCAACATAATTGCAACATCTGCAAATTCACCGCCGTCGCAGAATGTGAATACGACACGCGGTAACCGTAATAGTAGTCATATTTCACCGATGATTGCGACTCCGTCACGCGATACCGTCTGTCAGCGGGTTAATGACCGAGAAACTAGGGCGACCTCGGTCGTCATTGCATCACCACCTCAACCCTTGACTGAACCCATTGGTACTCCTCCGCCGAAGCCAACCTCAAAACAAGGGAAGACGTTTGCGGATGTTGCCCGAAAATCTTTACAACCGGCACCCTCTTGTGGTCGAAAGCGGCAGAATGTGGAAATAAAATCAGTTCCAGTAGTGACCCAAGACAAGATTGATAAGGACGGGTTTACTCTTGTTGAGAAGAGACGTCGGTCGCGACCCGTCTGTAACCAGCGTGGGACCGCGAAAATAAACGCGAGTACAACTTTGCGTGCTGTGGAGCCAACCATACAACTCTACATCTCCCGTTTGGACAAAAGTACGTCGGGAGAAGACGTCCTGCGCTTCGTGGAAGAACGAAGCCGATGCCGCATTGAGGATCCGATCTCTTTACATTTGCAGCGTCTGGAGTCTAATAGGTCAACGAACTTCAAATCCTACGTACTCCAGGTTCCTGCAAAACATAAAGAGACATTCCTCGCTCCCGATTTCTGGCCCTCTGGGGTAGTGTTTCGCCGATACAGGGACGCGCCAAAGAAAAAAGTTCCCTAAATAGTGTTATGTCTATATTTTTAGGTTAGTGTTAAGCACCTTATTTAAAAAAAAGTTTAAGTGTCTCTAAACAGGTTTATTGACCAGATCTCGATACATGCGCTCGCTTTTGCGTTAAGTGAAACACGAAATCATCAAATTTATTAATTTAAAGTATACCCTAAACGCCAGCGCGCTATAGCTTATTGCTAGCATAATCTGTTGACGGCGGGTGAAAACGTTTACACTTAAGCAATAATTTAATATTATGATTTGGTTCAATAGTCTCTACAAATATCTATGGTATTTAGTATGTATGTAAGAGAGGTGTCAATTAGAGGCGTGTGTCTTCTAAGAATTTAATTTGACTACGCTCGACGTGGACACAGATATTGGACATTTGGCCGTTAATTATTGATATTTTTCTATATGTTTGTTTTTGCATTAGTTATATTAAATAATTGTAATCAAATGTGATTAAAACTGCCTTTAATACACTGGATGATGTGTCTATGGATTTTTTTATGTCATGTAGATCGGAGCGTTGTTGTTGAGTTATCGTTCATAACAACTTCTTACTTGCTTCATTTAAGATCTTAGCGCTTTCTCGAATGTCCTTTTTGGTTGATATTTTAACAATTTTCAGTCAATTAATAGTTTTAATCTGGAGGTAGCCGTGGTTAACTATGACACTGCGACGTCAAACACCTCAGTCCCCCCCCCCCCCCCCCCGTGGCCATGGGTGCTGTAAAGAGCTCGAAACGTCTGGAATATTAAATAAGTTAATATTCCCGATAAAATCCGTAAATACTAGTTATAGTTAAATGTGTAGGTGTCCGCGTAAATACAAGAAATCGTTCAGGTTAATTACCTTAACGATTTCTTATATCCTACCTCAAAAATAAATATAAGTTAAAATAATAATAGTGTGAAAGCGGATGTCCAACTTCCTGTTCTGCTTACGCAATTAGTCATTATCAGCAATAAAACAGCGTACTGCACTATACATTCAGTATAGAGCTAGTACAGCTCGATCATATCGTAATATGTCCCCGTCACAATTACACACTAGTGTAACATGATGGACGCAATTACATGATAACTCCAAAGTGTGCAAACTAACAGCAACACTACGTATTTCATCGTAACATAGAGCAACCTCTCAGCAATACGATCTTCTCTGCCTGCACTAGAAGAATTACTAACGGACAGAACCACGACACTGTCACTATCACTCGTAGAATGACTTAGGCGGAATCTCTCGCGCATGACGCCTACAGTGAATTCTATACTGCACAAACGAGGTGTTTCTCGATATACCCAAAATTCCACCTTGCCACCATCGATATGACGCGCGCTAGTGACGCAACTACCCGCTCAATTTCGATCCATGCGGCATTTTAAAGACGCAACGATATATAATTATTTCGTGCACTTTAAATACATCAGATAATACTTTTCAATACATTTTTTATAGAATAAGAGTGAAAAACGAACTCACAGTCCATTCTATGGTAAGTGAATGCTGCGGCCTATAGACGTATACATCTATCCTAGATCAAGAATGAAAATGCAGACGCGTTGTCACCCCCGAGGACTAAGATGGAATGCCTCGTATCCAGTAAAACTTTTTAAGAACTATTAGTAGAAAATGCCTAAAGAAATTAAGTCCGTGCTTTGTATTGTATACAGATAATATAATGAAGGCTATATATAATAAAAAAAAATATTTTGGACCTTGATAATGATTTGCTCACTCTTTCAGTGTGACGCCCAGTTCGCCAGGCGTCGTTACCTGGAAGCACACGTGAAAAGGGTCCATCTTGGCTATAAATACGACAAGAATATTGTATGTGAAGTTTGCGCCAAGAAATGTCCGGTAAGTGTGGTGATAACCTAATGACGTAGGTTTTTTTAATATAAAATAAAAGCGACAAATGAACCGTTTATATAGAATAAGCGTGACAAACTAGCATACAGTCCACCTGATGGTAATTAGATGCTGTGGCCCATACACATCTAAATTTATCCTCAATTAAGAACCAAAATGCAGTTACGTTGTCACTCCTGAAGACTAAAAGATGGAATGCCTCGTTTCCATGTTGCGGATTCTCTACACTCATCATACGAAACACTGCAGCACTAAACTGCTATTTTACGCTGGTATTCTGTGAAAACGTGGTTCTTCCCCGGTCTATCTGATCCATTCGGGCTACAACCATAATCAAGCTGTAGCGTGGCTTTACCCTAAACTACGGGAAATAAGTAAATGTTAAACGCGTTAAAATCCGTAATATTAGTTTTATTCTAGTAGTGAACTATTCGTGTAAATATAAGGAATTGATTATTTCGACGTGGTAGAGCCACACTAAAGCTATATTCTGGTTGTTGCATGTGTAAAAAAATATTTAATGATGACACACACAGCCAAGTCTTTACATTTAAAAAACAATTCAGAATGCTTGTAATAATAATAAAATTACAATGATGAAACTGGTAAGGTGAAAGTACACAACTCAAATTTTAAATAAAATTTTAACAATAATTTAAAATAAAAAAAGACATATGTTGCAACGGCTCTTGAGCAATATTTTACTACATTATTTACTATAAAATCACTGAAACCCTGCTGTAGCCGAGTAATTATCAAACAGAATGTAAGTGCCTGTAAAAAAATGAATTTCCATTTCATGAAATATTATGAGGAGATACTACAAAATATTTCAAAACTATTGATATTAAGAAAACAGTAGATCTGTGGGGAATTTCAGTTTAAGTTATTGCGTTTAATTAAGATGATGCAATCGCACCCCAACTTGCTGTTATTTTCATTACTAGTATCGAATCTGGAGTGTTTCCTTATTTAATGAAACATATTAAAATTATATCTTTATTTAAATCTGGTAGTACAATGGACCTCTAGACCTATTTCTGTACTGCCAACGCTCAATAAAATTTTTGGAAAGATTATTCTAGAGCAAATGTTAAGTTTTTAATGTAAATAAATTGCACCATAAAATCAGTTTGGTTTTACAAAGAGTCGCTCAACAACTGATGCAGCTGATGAAACATATTTTCTGTGCATGGGAGAATTCAGAGTATGCTTTGGGTAGATTTTGTGATCTTTCTAAGGCTTTCGACTGTTCAACATGAGACATTAATCATTAAGCTGCATCATTATGGAGTTAACAAAACGTAGGAACTCCATGAACTCATGTTCTGTTATTTTAAAGCAAAATATGAAGGACCTGGTTACATAAAAAGGTTTGAAAAATTGTTCAAACATAGAAATCCTAACAATCCTAAAACACTAAAATTCACAGGAAACACATTTGCGAATCAAGCTAGAAGTATAATATCTAGGAAATTCTTGTCAACTCAGGTTTTGGACGAAATTAAAGCTAGAGCTGAACAAAATATAACAATAAAACAGAACATGGCTGACTTCAACCTGATTACTTCTATTAACTCACATATAACTACAACATCTAATAGTCCAGACAAACAGAACTTGGAAATCATACCCTCATAGATAATACACAAAACGCTCCCACGTTATCAGATATATTTACAACGACCAGACCACTCATAACACGTACAGTGTTAAAAGCTATCCCAGAGCAGCAGAATAGACAGACATTTGACAGTTCCTGATATCGAAGTAGATGATAACCAAGATGCCCTTATTCTGCAATTCCTACAAACTGTTGCGGAAACTAAAGAAATATCTATCGAAGATAGGGCTACCTTACCAAAGGCAAAATTTTGTAAGCAGTTTTGTGAAAATTTAAATAAAATCAATAACTTTTAGGCGAAACTTTTAGAATCGCATAAGTCCCTAAGGGAAATAAATGACATTATTTATGCAACTGCTAAAACAGTAATCACTGCAAATAAGCAAAAAACAATTAAACCTAAGACGACTAATCTAGTTGCAATAAAAACGAAAAAAAATGCACCGTGGAAAGCGAGACTACAGAAAAAAGTTGAGGATTTTAGAAGAGATTTAGGTAGACTAAAGTCCAATCGCGGAGGACGAAGAATTTCGTACATTGAACTGTCATTACCCGTCTCTGTCACTCCCGCGTAAATACAATGAGTCTCGCTCGCACAGATACAATGGCCGCCGTCCTCAGGGATTGTAAACCTTTAACTGGAGACTATAAGGTTTGTTCTTGTTTGCATAATGTGGTTTTGGTTGGCCTTGAGTCACGACAAAAAGTCCTTGGTTTGCTTGACCTTGACGTAATTAATAATGTTTAAATAACGAATTTAAATAACGAATTCTTAATTATTTTAATTAAAATACTTAAATCCAATGATTTTATAATTGCAAAAAGAATAAATAAATTAATTGATGTATAAAATTTCGAAATATTATTGGTTTATTTAAATGCACACGACTAACAAACAGCCCTTTCATGGACACTCTGACTGAGCCGGCGCAAACCGGTTTGTACCCCGACGGAGCGTCGGTGAACCTGTCGGTGAGAGCTCACGCACACATCTCTGCGCTATGTATGGGTGTGTTCGTAGTGAGCCGTTTGTATGTAGCTTCCCCTCTGGTCGGTTTCTTTACTCATGTGATTCCATCTTGGAATGCGTTAGTGATCGCTCAGTTTTCGGACACAGTTATTTACCTATTCTTAGTTTGTTGTTGTTTGTTAGTTTTTGTTATCTTGTTTTAATTATTAAGTGGTTTTGTTAATTTGTTAAGTTTTATTCACTCTTTTAAAATGGAACCAGAGCCGTCTACCTCGCGTCCATTCAAGGAGTTTGTTTCTCCGCGGAAGAAAAGAAAAATGTCACACTTTAGTGTATCTGAGAAGGTAATGATTATTAACGTGTTTAAATACGTTAAAAAATCCTGGTCTGCTGATAAATATCCTTCAAAAAAAGATATGAAGGACAAAACAGCCGATATCTTGGGCATTTCGAAATCGGCCATATATCGTATCTTAAAAGAATATACCGACACAGATACCGTCAAGCCAGCTGCTTCACCGAAAAAACGACTCTCATTAATTGAAAAGATTGATGGGTTCGATAAATCGTGCATTAGACGAATAGTGCACAGCTTTTATTTTAAAGGAGAGTTACCTACAGCAAAAAAGGTGCTACATATCATAAATACAGACGAATCCTTACCAAACATGGGTTTGACATCGTTGAATAAATTACTGAAAGATTTGAAGTTTAAGTATGTCAAACGAAGGAGAAATAACGGGTTAATCGACAGAGATGACATAGCATTGTGACGTATCAAATATTTGAAAAATATGAAAACTTACCGACAGCAACAACGACCAATATATTACTTGGATGAAACTTGGGTGAATGCGGGTAAGACTTATATTTATTATTTTCTAACTGACTTAAATCTATACTAAGATTATGAATGTGAAAGTAACACTGTCTGTCACCTTTACCCGCCTAAACGGCTATTAATTGTTGAAACCTTTGATTAGTTTATTCATTTACTTTTCAGGGCACACTGTTGGCAAGGTGTGGGAAGACACTACAGTGCAGTCACGAAAACAAGCATTTTTGGAGGGTTTGTCGACGGGTGCCAAGAATCCTACTTTCAAAGGCAACCGGCTAATTATTTTACATATAGGAGGTGAACAAGGATTCGTGCCAGAATCGGAATTGGTGTTTGAATGCAAAGGTACAGGCGATTATCACGAATCGATGAATGCAGCCAAGTTCGAACATTGGTTTCAAGCAATGCTACCGAGACTTGAGCCAAACGCAGTGGTTGTCATGGATAATGCCAGCTACCACTCAAGACGCCAGGAAAAAATCCCAGTTACTAGTTGGAAAAAAATAGATATTCAAGAATGGCTTTCATCAAAGCAAATTTCTTTTGAGGCAAAGGAAACAAAAGTCCAGCTCTTGAAAAAGGTGAAAGATGTCAAGATTCAGTACCAATCGTACGTGGTCGATGAGCTGGCAAAAGCAGTTGGTGTGGAGGTATTGAGATTACCTCCGTACCATTGCGAATTGAACCCCATCGAACTAGTGTGGGCAGACGTCAAGGGGTATGTGGCCCGAAAAAATACAACATTTAAGATGGCAGATGTTAAAAAGCTGCTCCAACAGGCTTTAGGCAACATTTCAGCAGAAAAATGGCAAAATTGCATCATTCACGTAAAAAAAGAGGAATCGAAATTAGCTAGACTAGATGATAATGTAGACAAAACTGTTGATTCTTTTGTGATAAATGTGACAGGCGAGACGTCTTCGGAAAGCAGTTACTCCGATACAGAGGAATCGGATTCTGATTTTTGATTTTTTTTTCTGCCGAATTAGTAGATACTTGTCTAGATTTTTATTACTTGTAATATAAAATCTAAATAAATAATTTATATAATAATAATAACTATATTTCATAAGTTGGTAAATTTTCTTTCTTCTTCAAATATTTCATGTAAACCGCACTAAATACAAAAATGTTTGTGACCACTGTCACTAGGTAAAGAGGTCATTGTACGAAATTCTTCGTGTTCCGCGACTGGACTTTAGTAGAAATTCAGAGAGGAAACTATCATACCAGAAAAATGATAAGAATTAAAAATAAGTTAGCTAATAAATATAATATACGAAATGATCAAGACCTGGACAATAGTGCAGAACTAGTTAAACAGACAATAAAAGCACTGGCGGGGCGAATTAAGAGGTATGATGATATAAACAATAGAAATTTACAAAATAAACTATTTCAAGAAAATCAACACAAATTTTTTAAACGTCTTGATGGTCAACAACGAATTCCAAAATATATTCCATTAAAAGAAGATATTCAAAATTTTTGGGAATCCATACTATCTGAACCAGTATCATATAACAATAACGCTAGGTGGATCAAGGAAACAGAAG